ACACACACACACACACACACACACAACCAGATCCACCACAGCTTGGCAGCACAAGGTCCTGCAAAAATCAGAGGAAAGAAAAGGCAGGAACTCAGCACATTACGAGAACAGATAGAGAGGGAGGCACCAAAGAATTTAAGAAAGAAAGAAAGAGTCCCTTATCGAACGTCATCCTTCATCTGACTGATCTCATGTTTCTTCCTCGAGGCTCGAACAGAGAAAGAAAAGCTTGTGCCTCCTGCTGAACCCATATAAGTCCCCTCACTGTCCGCTCAAGCACCAGCTGTGTCGTAAAGACCATCAGCTTTGGTCCTAAAAACTCACATTTGGCATCAAAGAAATGAAACCGTGTCCACACTGAGATTTTGTTCTGGTGTCACAACAGATCAAACATCCTGAAGCTTCCATCTGCAGGTTTACGTCACGTGAAATAAAACTCTGTCATCGAGTTTCCATGAAGCTGAGTTTCTGAAATAGTTCAACATTCTGAGAAACGTGATTTCTTAGCAAGAGGGAGATGAGAAAATCAGCTTCTTGTCAATGTGAGAAACCCTGATGCTTAGCCTTATGTGAGCTTAGCTTAGCATAAAGGGGTGGTAGTGGGAAACAGCTAGCCGGGTTCTGTTTAAGAAAAACATGTAGAGCTCAACAGTTACGTAGGACAAACCATCGTACGCCAGCACAAATGTAAAAACAAGAAGTTGGAGTGAAGACAAACATAGAACTGTGTCATTCATGAGTTCTAGAGATGCTCTCTTGCTTCAATAACCGATGAGTTTAGTCGCTGTGGGCAGCAGAAGTACGTTGTGACTCACTGTGAGTTGTGTTTCTGCCACCAGGCTAACATTGTGTTACGGTACATCCAACACGAACTCTCTCTTTGTCCTGTTTTGGTCTCCACCAGCGTCTGAGCCAAACGTCTTCCACTGTGTTCCCAGCTCGGTGCGTCTCTGCTGTTTTCACAATGACTTCAGAAAGTTTGAAGAGTTTGGCACAAAAATCTTGAAAAGGACAGAATGAACAAAACAATGAAGCTTATCTAATGAAAGCTGCTGTGAAGCTCTGTGCAGTCACAGTGTTGTCACATCGCCATGCGACGCGTTGTCGTCACACAAACAGAATTCATGGTGCCTTAACGAGAATATGATCAGTAAATATGGATAAGGGTGTTGGGCTCATAACGTCTGAAATGACTGAAATAAGTGAGAACAAGCAGAGGACAGATGTGACTGTGTTCATAGGGAACTGCTTCCTTGTTCTTTACCAACACTTGCAGTATTCGCCTCTAAAGTTCAGTTTGCTCTCGACCTTTGTGACCTGTGGATCATGACACAGAATAAGGTTTTTTTGTGCAAAGTAAACACAGTCTTATTGAAAAGAATGAATCAAGCAGTAAGTCTAAAGATTAGGATCGCTGGGCA